AACCCAAGACGGAGCTGTAACAGTCCAACAGATGAACACTTTAACGTCCCAGAACAGCCAGATGGGATTTTCCCGATGAACGTCTTCGCGACAACCAACAGGAATGGGAAATGCTCGAGACGAACCTCTGAAATGTGAAGCTACGTGTATGTCGGGGGATGTGATGTCCGTTCATCCTACAGCGATAAGAGACACTTGACTAGCGGTAATCCACCGAAATATCCAGCGTTCCATTTCCAAAAGATGTTACGAGAAATGTTCCGAGAGAACTTTTGGCAAAAAAACATTTGTGTGGATCACATGGTTACGTGAAACCCCTCCCCCCTCCTCGTCCCGTGCTGCGCCTTACGATGTTTTCACCAGGTCATAGACGTAAATGTGAAAGTCGTCATCAAACTTGATGAAGTAGACGGAGGGCTTGGCCTCCACCTGATGGATAACCATGCCAGTTCGTTTAGAGCCGTCCTCTTTGGCGTATTCCACCTGCTTCCCCACGAGGCTGTCCACTACCTCTCCGGGCTCACGCTCCGCCGGGGGCGAGTCGTCTGAAACACACGCGAACCATCATTAGTAGAGGCAGACATGACTCTTTGAATGATAAAAACGACTCTTTTAACTGCACATCCCATAACACACTGAAAATAAATAAAATAAAATCAATAAAATAAAAATAGTAGAATGTAATTGCATTTTCTTTTCAGAAAAAAAAATCTACCAAAAGCCTTGTCAGTTAATAATCTCAGTTTTAAATTTTTTTTGCCATTGTTTTTGTGAATTCTGTTAAATGTTATGAAGGCTTGCTCCTGACAAGGGATGGTAGCTGTGACATTTTAATCGCACAATTCTGTCTTTTTTTTCTTGCTATTCTAGCCAAAATTGCGAAATATAAACTCAAAATTAAAAGCTATAATTTTTTTTTTGAAGAAGAATTGCTAGAGAAAAGACTAAATTCTAAGATACAAAGTTGCAATAACCCCTTGGTGCAAACAAGCTTACATTACAATGTCAAAAAATTCTGATATAAACTTGTAATTCTGAGAAGAAAGGTCCAAATTGTGAGATTAAAATGTCGCAATTACATGTAAAAAATAATAATAAATAAATCAATAAATATTGATATTTATATATAATATTCAGGGGTTAAAGCAAAAAAATAAATCCCGAGCCTGAACGTTTTTCTGGGGGTTGGGGGTTGCGGGGGCAGACATACACTTTTGGCAAACAAAAAAATAAACTAACTAGTAACGTATCTGCTATTACCATTAGCCCTTGACAGGCTCAGACTACAGATTATGGTGGGATATTTGAAACAGCAATACCAAGAAAGTTTACTCACTACAATATGGTGTAAACACATGTAACATTTAGGATGCTTTTGATATCAAGTTTTGCTGGTTAACTTTGTCCTTGACAGGGTACAAGATGACCTACAATCTAAAACATGAAATTTCTGAAATTGTTTTGTTCAAAAGAAATAATGGTAAATTAAATACTAGGAAATGAATATAAAATAGGAAATACAGGTGCATCTCAATAAATTAGAATGTCGTGGAAAAGTTCATTTATTTCAGTAATTCAACTCAAATTGTGAAACTCGTGTATTAAATAAATTCAATGCACACAGACTGAAGTAGTAACAGGGTTCGTACAGATACTGCAAAATAAAATTCCACTTTTGTAATAATTTGTAATTTGCACTACTTTTTTGGTTTAAGGACTAAAATCAGATCTCACTTATCAATCAATGTTGTTATTATCTTTTAAATAAACTAATAAAACAAAATGGTACAAATAAAGTGCAGCGCATGTAAAGAATGCAATGGCTGTGGCAACTTTAACATTTGAAAGGATACTATGGCAAAGTTATCGCTTTCCTTATTCAAACTGATTTTTTTTTCAATGAATATATTATTGACCTGAAGAATGAAAGCTATGTCATACATTTTATCACGCTCATAGACACTAGGGGTGTGACAATCAGTGTTGGGCTAGTTACTCAAAGAATGTAATATATTACTCATTACTAGGTACTCCTTTCAAAAGTAATATTGTTACTTTACTTATTACTTTCTGGCAACAGTAATTAGTTACACTACTAGTTACATTACTTTCATTAGAAAATATTACAAATCTTAATTTGAACACTATATGTTTGATTGTTATAATAAATGTATTAACAGAGCTGTTTTAATCATTATTATCATTATTATTGTCTTTTTATTTTATTTTACAGAACAACAGTAAAATTACAATACTAACATTTATGAATGTTGATAAGAGTTCTTGCTTTTTCTCAACTTTTATTTTGGCGGAAACGTGCAGGAAGACTTCAATGCTTCCTTTTTGTTGACAACAACAGATTTATAAATAAGTCTCATTACGAATAAGTCGTACATATTGCATTGTCACATGCCTTGTAAAAAATCATAAAAAAAAAGCTCAGTCACATTTTTATGATATATAACATTTATTACCTTGTGAGCTTCAGAAACGTGCCGCAGTGCGACTAGTTTAAACACAAGCATTGACTGGAGTGGCCTCGATCAGCTCCAGTGGCTGCGTCGGAGCGGCGTGACAGTAAAGACATTTATAATGTTACAAAAGATTTCTATTTCAAATAAATGCTGTTCTTTTGAACTTTCTATTCATCAAAAGAACAGCATTTATTTGAAATAGAATTCTTTTGTAACATTATAAATGTCTTTACTGTCACTTGTGATCCATTTAATACATTCTGGCTGACAAAAAGAGCATTAAAATAATGAAAACCTATATTGGTCTATCACTGCTACTAACAGTCCACTTTAGGTGGGCAAACTACGGCCCGCCGGGAGTTTTCATCCAGTCCGTGAACCAGTTGCTCCAAAATGGCTAATTTGATGCCATGTCAGTAAAATCCAATAGATGGCGCTGTAGCACGGCATATAGCCCCTGATTTACTCAGTAACGCCGCTCCGACGCAGCCACTGGAGCTGATCGAGGTCACTCCAGTCAATGCTTGTGTTTAAACTAGTTGCACTGCGGCACGTTTCTGAAGCGGCCCAGAAGCGGCTCTCTGCGCTGCTTCGCTAAAGATAGGCGCCTAGTCTATTTTTGACGGACGCCGCGTCCAAGCCGCACAGCTCAAATACAAAATTAAAAAATCTAAATATACACCCTGTGCAAAACTGGCACAATTGTAAATAGTTACTTGTTTTAAAAATGTGAAAATGTTCATTTGTTTTAAAAAAATGCCTCGCATTGGTAGCCTACGGTTGTAAAAATGCTTAAAGGGTTAGATCACCCAATTAGTGAACTAACCCTTTAAAATGGTCTGTAGACTTTCCAGTGGGAGAAATAATGCAAGTGTTTTCCTCCTGCTCACGGGCACTGTAATTTTGTGGGAAAAACATGGAAATAATTTGTCGTTTTATTTTGCAAAGATTACGTTTTCCACACATATTTTTATGAAAATGTATATAGTTATCTTCTGGATTATAAATCATGTTTTTTATCATCTGAAATGTGCTGCGATTTCCAAGGCGACTTATTAAAGCAATCAGGTCAAGCGCAAAGCGACAGACATTTGGATTGGTGACAAATGAGAAAGGCAAGTGCGTTTGTATTGCGCATTTTCCAGCAACCATGCCGCTAGTTTCAGTTTCGCTTTAAATATTTAGGCTGGGCGTTTATAATAAATTTGTATAGTGAATGCCACTATAATTTGTGTTTGTTTTTTACTTATATTTTCGTTTCTTTTTCTGTTCTGAACACTGCTTCATTTAGTGAGGGAAATATAAATACATGTTTCTAATGTTTGTGAACGTTTAGTTTATTTTACATTATTTATGAATTAAATGATAAAATGTGTCTAAAAATCAAAGCTTCATTTGTCATACACATATTACGCGGCCCCTCACTTGGTGTGGAAAACTTGATGTGGCCCTCGAGTAGGCTTGCCGCGATAGACGGTGCTGACGGTGATACCGGTGTTAAGCCGCAACTCCGGTTACGTCGAGCTGACTGACAAGAAGAGCGATCGCAGATGATTTAGTTTCGAAACGAAATGCAAAAGCGCCTGTTTGGCAGTATTTTGGATTTTGAAAAGCCCGTTGACTTTTGCCGTTTATCTAAGGTGATTTTGGAAGTTTTTTTTTTTAAACATTCGTTTCTTATTTAATTGGTTCCACATTGTTTGCTGATTTTTACTTTATTTAAACGTTGTGTCATTTATTTATTTTATTTGACATCAAGGTGTATGCCGTGCCTCCAAGCTTTCTTA